CTTGGATGAAAGTGAAAACTGATCTAAATATGGTGTTGTGAATTAATTAAGAATGTTCTGATTCATTAATGTTTTAATGTTCATTAATAAATAAGGTTTTTGATAAATGAACAAGTTGTTTTAATTTTGGCTTTAACATGAATTAATGTAATTTCTAAATTAATTTAATAATATTATAAGTATATTTATTATTTAAGCTTCACCTGGATTTATTCAGTCATACAGAATAGAAAAATTATTGATTATATACTTTAAAATTTAAATAATAAGTTATATTTCAAATCACGAGTTTATAAAAAAAAAAAAATTGAGCGTTTTATTTTGATAAATATAACATTTTACCACTAATACATACTTTAACTCATACTCATGTATTTTATACATTTTTAAAATTTTCTCGAAAACTGCTCTAACGTTTTATCTGAAATTGTTAATATGTATGTAAAATTAAATGACCTTTCAAAATGCCGGCATCTCTTTTATTCAGTTTGTTAAAAATTATAATTTAATTTATTTAGAATTAAAAGAACGAGAATCAATTGGATAGATAATGTATTTATTAGTTTAAATACAATTTAACTAAAGGAGTCTGGCCAAATCGGTGTTAGTTTGACAAGAATCAATTATTTTATATAATATACAAATGAGGAATTTTCGACATGCAAACGATTATGTATTAAGTAATGGAGAAAATGGGAAAAATATTTCCTCAAGTTGATAACAAATTTCCAAATATAATATTAGTAATTTAGGTAGATATATAATATAGCGTTGGAAAGCTAAAGCTAAATTAATAACTAACCTAAAATTCGTAAAAAAAATTATAGATAGTGGCCAAAAAAATAAATATTTTCTTTAAAAATTTATTGCTTTTATATTATTAAATAGAAATAATTTTTTTTATTCAAATTACTCAGAAATTCCATAATATTTTTAAAATTTATTTTTAGAATAATTAACTCACCAGAAATATATAGATCTCAGGCTAATTATATTTCATAATAGTTGTAGTTTTATGTTTATAGTTAAAGAAATATCCTTAAAATTTATTAATTTATTTAAAATTAATTTCTACTGTAAGTAGGATAGTAAATGAAAGTTGTGTGATGTGAACTCATCAGATTTTTATATAATGAAACACGTTAAATAATTAAACAGCTTAAAATTAAGTACATTAAAAATATTCCCGTCACTTATTCACATTAATTTCGTAATATATTAATAATTAATTAGTTAAGACTATATGTAAAAAAAACATTTCATAAGTTGCTTATTTTCATTCTTCAACTTAGTCGTTTGTTTTCAAAATGAACTCTAATCATTGTTAACAATTTATCAAAAAAACTCAAATACTATATTTTCTATTGCAGTTATAATATCAAAACTAATATTTAAAAAAATATAAATTAAGAAATTCTTTATTTCTAGAATATATTTCCGAAAACCACTGTCCATTCCAGTAGTAATTAAAAAACACTGAAACTTGAATAGAGGCCCTTTTAGAAGAAAATAAACTTCAATGCTCGTTTTTGAACAAAAGAAAAGGATTATTGGATTTTGTTTTTCAGAGAAAAAAAAAATGATTTGTGATTCAGAAAGATAAAGTTATAAAAATTTTACATTAAAAAATTAACTTTTTGTTTATAATAATGGTATGATAAAAAAAAGTATACTTGTAATTTGAATAAATCGGTTAGAAAAATATTTAGTGATTTTCGTTTAAGAATACTTAAGAAATGTAAGTGTGCTTACATTTCTTGAAAAAAAAGCAGATTTGATAAAAAAGCTTTTTTTACACCACTTTTTTAAATATTTTGATTCATTATTGAAAACAAAATAACTGTTCCATCATTCATGATCAAGAATTCATTAGGTATTTGTAAATATGAATCGATACTTATTTCAATTTCCATAAAAATCGATTAGGATTCCCTTTAGAAATAAACGACTCAGCTGTTTTAAATTAATGAAAATTGTTATAAAATAGTTGGCCCATACGAATAAGTCGCATAGTATATTGGACAGTGAACAATTTACAATATAATATAGAAATAAGTTAATGCAATGTATTATCAGATAGAGGAAATATTATTTTCTCCGTCTAATCACGTTAGTTCATTCATAATAATAAATCAAAACATGTGTACATTACTACAGGCTGTGGCTTTGATAATAATTGTTCGATTTCGATGAATTTTATTTTGTTTTGTAACAGTTTAATAAATATTTAAATAATCATGGATGCAATCAACAAAAAAACTAAATTTTGTACTTTAGACCACACGATAGGAGTGAAAATATCTACAAGGCGTGATTAATAATACGAAATATACATTATAAATAATAGCTCATTATAATGATAATGAAATGCTGAACAATTCCATTGCTTACAGTATATAGATCCGATTTTTACTTTATGAGATATTTTAATCAATATCTTCAATAAAACTTGTTATAATTTTGTTTTCGGCACTATTTTTTCTCTTTTTGTCTGTCTAAGATGGCGTCGCGTTAAAATACGATTTTGAATAATAGCTCATTACAAAGAGGATGAAATGATGAACACTTCTCCCGCTGACAGTATACAGGTCCGATTTTTAGTTTTTGAGTTATGTTAATCCATATGCAAAAACACTTCAATTAGTCGACTCTAGCCGAGCGTTACACATCGGAGATCTGATGGCTCAATCTAATCCACCCAAAAAAAAAAAAAAATCTTAACGCCTCTAAAGAAGTTTTATCTTCAAAAAGGGCACACTTTTTTAGTTATTTGCAAATAAAGTTTCTTTTCCTTTATAACTTTTTTTTTTTTAATTTCTGAAGGATGTGACTATATTTTGTCACTTCCTCATGAAATCCCATTTCGTTTGATACCTCATTCATTCATAAAAAACCATCTCTCCTGAGAGCCGGAAAAGTGATCTTATAAAGATAGATTATTATATTCTGAAGAAGGAAAACCCCTAAAATGTCGATAATAATGTGATTTTTTTCATTGATAGAGGAAAATTTCCACCTTCATCATAATTTTAAAATAAAAAATCATGAAATATAATTTTATAGTACAGTCATTATTGACTTTTAAGAAGAATATTTGTTAATTTGTACAACTGAAGAACCTCCTAAACGTATTGTTATTGTTTCCTGTTTGCATGAAAGGATTTTTTTTCGCAAACAAACAAATGCTTTTACATCAGCACTATAAATAATTGCACGGAATTCAGTCGAATTATAAATTATTTATAGCCAGTAGCGCCGGTACTATTTTAGTTTTATGATTTGTTTTTAACGGTTGTGGATACAGGATTTAAATTATTCATTTTTTTTTTGGGAGGGGGGGAGAGGATATGTCTTTGTATTTTTCATTGATTAAGTATAATTTAGATTGAGAATATTATCGGTTTATTGCAAAAAATTACTGAGCACATTTTAAACAAGTTGAATATTTAAATGTTTTTTTTTTTTTGTGATTTTCCATCTTATTTATCGATACTAAAAGAAATAAGTATATCAAAATGACATAAACTCTTTTATATTAAAACAAAGAAAATTCATCAAAATATGTGTTGATTTAATTATTTAAACAGTGATTTTTTGCAATAAATCAACAATATATTATAATTTTTTGGGTCAGATCCCTCGTTGAAACAAAGTGGACCAATGAAAAACAAATTATCCTCTAGTGATATTTAAGAAAACACAATTTAAATAAATTGTAAAATTAATTTACATTAAACGTTGTTCAACGGTTTATTGCAAAATATCACTGAGTACATTTTTAAAAAACTTGAACATTTACATTTATTGTTGTGATTTTCAATCTTATTAATCGATACTAAAAAAAAAATAAGTATATCAAAATGACATACTCTTTTATATTAAAACAGAGAAAATTCATCAAAATATGTGTTGATTTAATTATTTAAACAGTGATTTTTTGCAATAAATCAACAATATATTATAATTTTTTGGGTCAGATCCCTCGTTGAAATAAAGTGGACCAATGAAAAAACAAATTATCCTCTAGTGATATTTAAGAAAACACAATTTAAATAAATTTTAAAATTAATTTACATTAAACGTTGTTCAACGGTTTATTGCAAAATATCACTGAGTACATTTTTAAAAAAGTTGAACATTTACATTTATTGTTGTGATTTTCGATCTTATTTATCGATACTAAAAGAAATAAGTATACCAAAATGACATAAACCCTTTTATATTAAAACCAAGGAAATTCATCAAAATATGTGTTGATTTTATTTTTTAAACAGTTATTTAATGATTTTTTGCAATAAATCAACGATATATTATAATTGTTTGGCTCAGATCCCTCGTTGAAACAAAATGGACCAATGAAAAACAAATTAATTTCATTTTGGGGGGGGGCGGTGGAGAGAACTTAGCCCGAAAGCGTATCTCTTAAATCCGATAGTGGTATTTAAGAAAACACAATTTAAATAAATTGTAAAATTAATTAATTTTTCATTTAAATTGATAAATGTTGTTCAACGGTTTATTGAAAAAAAATTACTGAATACATTTTTAAACAAGTTGAACATTTACATTTTGTTGTTGTGATTTTCGATCTTATTTATCGATACTAAAAGAAATAAGTATATCAAAATGACATTAACTCTTTTATATTAAAACAGAGAAAATTCATCAAAATATGTATTGATTTAATTTTTTAAACATATATTATAGTTTTTTTGGGTCAGATCCTTCGTTGAAAAAAAAATGGACCGAAAAAAAACAAATTAATTTCATTTGGGAGGGGGGAGGCGGTGTAGGTAGGTAAGTCCGAAAGCGTATTTCTTAAATCCTCTAGTGGTATTTAAGAAAACACAATTTAAATAAATTGTTTTTTAATTTAAATTGTACAAGTTGTTCAAGTCATTAATTCATTTAATTTTATCATTAGCTATGAAAATTAATTGTTGCATTATGCTTGAAGTTATTTTTTATTTTATTAATTTTTTTTGTTTTGTTTTTTTCAGTTACTCAAGAAAATCCGCCGAGCTGATTGTTTCAAACTTTTAAATGGATTTATTAATAAATTGTTTATCACGATTCGAATTATTTTTTTGTTAATTATTTGTTTAAATAAACTTTTTTTGTTAAGAGTCGTAGTTTCTCTTCCTGAATTACCTGCCTCCTCGTATTGTTTTTTTTCCTTTGTTATCAGTGGGAACTTTTAATAAATGAGTATGCAATTATTCAAACTATTGAGAAAGAAATAGTTCGTCCATGAAACGATGACAAATAGAGTAGAGACTCCAGAAAGGTTCGGTTGGAAATGATTCATTTCGAAATGATGTAATGGATCTGTCATTTTCCGAAACAGGTAAGTTAAGCATTCAAAGGTGAGATAGGGAACAGGTGTAAAGAGGGGACATTCGAAGCCGGTAGGTTGGCAGCACTGATTTCTCCCATCTGATGGGGAAAATGGGGAGTCTACTAAATTGTTTCGTTGGCGTGTGAGTTTTAATATGCTATTTATAGTGTCGAGAAGAGATCTTCAGAAGAAATAGTCGGGTTAAAAAGAAAAAACAAATCTCTGTAGGGGACTTTAAAACGACCTCCTACCTGTGAAATACCACCTACTTGGTTTTGTGGCCATTTTGTAACAAGGTGGAGTAGACGTGAAAGCTGGCCCGAAGGAGCAACAACATTCGAACTTCAGTGCCTGTTCTTGTAATAAATTGTCAAAAATGGATATTTGGTGCGAAAGTGTAGTGTTTGCTAAATATTCAGGGTTATATTGACTCAGAAGACAACTGCTTTGTAAGTGTTTCATAGCAACTATTGTCTCTTATTTTATTTTTAAATTTTCATTTGAATTAGTCTCATTTAGTTGAATGTAATTTAATACTTCATCGATTCTAGTTAAATGAAAATCAATCAGTTTATGGTTGAGTTATTTTCTTGTTTCATAGTGACTTGAAATCTGCCCTAGTTAAAAGAAATTTTGCAATTCAACTCCTTTGAAATCACATAACCAATTTGTTATTATGCAGTATTTTATACTGTCCATTGAGAGCAACGGTATCTAAAAGCTGTATTATCTTATCAGTAATTTTTTTAGTGTTCAGTTGATCAGAACGAAACCTGTCATTTTCATCGCCCTTTTGTAATTAGTCTTATCATAAACCAATAGTCTTGGAGTTCTATTTATTGTTAGTTCAAGTGCATTTAAACACAATTATATAATATTTTCATGTTTTGAGTTTGATGATGATTATCTCTTTTGAATATTTACGTAGAAAATGCCTGTCGTACCGCCTCCGCCTCCTCCAGGGCCACCTCCGCCCCCAGCTTTTTCGCCAGTTGATTTGAAAGAAGCCGCAAAAGGGAGAGATCTGCTCCTCCAGTCCATCAGGAAAGGGAAACCTCTTAAGAAAACTGTCACTAATGACAAAAGTGGACCGCTCATTCAGCGTAAGTATTTAAAAATTATATTTTAACTAATGGTTTATTGAAATTTTATACAGTCTCTTGACTTACTCTAAGATAAAATGAATATATTTGCATACAAATTTCAAATTATTCATCATTGTAATGAATTCTAGTCATAATCAGGCATACAGGAAGAGCCTCTTCATTCCTATTAAGGTTATGGAAGTGACAATTTGTGATTTATAATTAGAAACAGTGTCGTATCAATTCGAAATTTATTAAAATCATAACAAATTGTTTAATAACAAATCATACTTTCAGAATTATGTATACATTTTAATATTATTTTTTTTTTAGTTTTATCTGATGTTTAAGTTTAAAGTTAATTTGGTTGGCTTGTCGACTTGATTAGAGCGTATGTAATAATTCATATGATAGTCTAGTTATTCATCAGTGCATTGCATTTCCTGGTCTGATGCTTTCATAAGTTAAATAATGTGCTAACAACATTCCTAAATAATTAACCTATATATTTCATCCATTGATTACATGTTTTTTATATTACGAATTTATTTTTTATTTTTCAAAACTAAACAAAGGAAGTGATTATAATAGTCAAAGAAATATTTGTTTTTAATTTTTATAAGAATTTTTTATTTGAATCTTTTATTTTAATGATATCACAAAATTATGAATTTCTGTCTTTTTTTGAACCCTCGGAAACATTCACTACTCATATAAACAGATATTATTCGTTATTTAATAATATTTCTGTTGTGATATCAACAGTTGTTTGATAAAAGTTTGAATCAGTGCATAGATTGACCTTGTGCAGTGTTAGTCACCTTTTGTGACTGACAGTTAGAAACTGGATTAAGATATATATTTATTTTAATGATGTCAATATTTATTATTTTCATGATAATTATTTAAATTATAAATTTTCTTGCTCGAAATTTACTATTGTTTAATTTTATTCATTGCTTTAAAAATAAAGTACTCACAAACAATTTAATGCACAGGATGTCCATGAATTCCTTATTATATAATTTCTAACTCAGAAGGATAAATAAATTTGTTCTGATATATATATTATACATACAATGTATAATGCGAAGTACTAGAGCGTGAAATAAAACGTTAAATTTTTTTTTTAATCCCAATATTGTATTTTTACTTAAAAGTTCTGTTAGCTCAATTCATTTCACCAAAAAATTAATCTAACAAATAGTAATTGTGGAGTTTATACTTGATATCAGAATCAGGCAATTCATTAAAGATAATCATATCTGTAATCCAAACCCAATTACTGCTTATTTCGTATTTAACATAACCTTTTTTTTTTTTAAGTACTTAAATAAATACAAGTTAAATTTTTATACCAAATTCAAAACTTAATTACAAAAAAAGTTCTTCAAAACTTTTCATGTATATTTAAGCTATGTAAATATCAGAGCATACAAATGTAGTTATCATATCATTGAATTAGATATAAACATTATATCAATAATCTTTCTTCAAGTGCTTATGGAACCTTTTTAATAAATATCACAAAATTCTACCATATAATTATATATTTTACCGATCGAATGAAGTATCTGTGATCCAAGTCCAATTACTGCTCTTTTTTTTAATTACTTAAATTGATATTTTTACACCAAATTCAGAACTTAATTACAAAAAAAGTTCTTCAAAACTTTTTATATATATCTGAGCTATGTAAATATATCAGAGCATAAATATATAGTTATTATATCATTGAATTGGATATAAACTTTATAAAAAAATTTTTTCTTCAAGTCCTTATGGAACCTTTTAATAAATATCACAAAATTCTACCAAATAATTATATATTTTACCGATCGAATGAATTATAATTATATATTAGATTATACTTATTTTTAGTCCATTCTTTTATTATTTTTAAAATTTTTATCTCAAAATGATTACAAGGACAAATGCAGGGTTTATAAAATGTAACATTTATCAGGGATTCTCGAGAGACCTTGGAGTGTTTACATTTGTTTTTGTTATGGCCATTGCCTTTTTTTTTTTCTGCTTTGTTTTGTACTAACATAATTAGTTATACTTTATATAATTATCAAATCATCATCATCATCTATTACCTCTTTACCGCTTAAGCAGTGTGAGGTTATCTATCTGATTATTTTATTATTATTACTTTGTTTATAATTAATTATTATACTTATTGGATCCTATTTTTGGCTTCTATTTTATTATTAATTTTTTTCCCCTGTAAATTGGTTACACATTTTTTAAACATAAAGAGATATTTATGTTTAAAAAATGTATATATATATATATATATATATATATATATATGTATGTATGTATTTTATAGATGGAATGCAATATTGCTAGTTCATTAATAGTTAATTAACATTATATAAAATTTTGGATAATTTTTTTCATCCTAAAAATAAAGAAACAAAAACAAATTTTCTTTATCAATATTTAAAAAAAACACTTTGTTATATCACACATATTTATAATGTAGATATGATAAGTTTTATATATGAAATATGGTATATAATACAAATTTTGAAAATAGTTGAGATTCGGGTTGTTAAATTGTTTATATGTGTATATAAAATAAAAAAGAAAAAGTAACCACCACTAAAAATCTTCGCTGATAAAAAGAAAATTTTTTGTCTGAATGAGAAGAGAATATTGACAAAAATCTTACAAAAATTCAAACAGATAGTAAATAATAATACGTATAAAGAAATTTTAAAATAGCCAAAGGCAACTTTTTCATCAAAATTGGCAAACCGGAAGTGGCACTTTCTATAATTGATAGAACACATTCATTTTTACGATTTTCTCAAACACAGCTCTAACGATTTTAATTAAACTCCGTATATCAGTGTATCATTAAGTTGTTTTTATTATAAGCTAGGTCTTATGCACATTGATGTCACTTTACAGGGCTTAAATGCCCAATGTTCAAATACGTCTTCCTCTAAAGTCCCTTTAATTCGGTTTATTTATAAAAAAATAACTCTCTTATTGACAGTAACTATAAATATGGCTAAATATAAAGTAGGAAATAATTTGATAATTGGAAACTTGAGAAAACAGGGAAAATGTTCATTTAGGTCGAAAAGGAATCTCTGGAAATACTAGTCAGAAGGTATACATATAATATATAGTTGGAAAGCGGAGAATTTTAGAAAAAAACAATATCTAACATAGAAAGTCGTAGAAGGTAATGGAGAGTGATAAAAAAATTATAAATAAAAATTCGTGAAAAGTAATATTATTTAAAGAAAATCATATGTTTCCAAGGAAATTAAATGAAATTTACTTAATACATGTAAAATTTTAAAGTTTGAAAAAGTATTTAAAATCCACCGAATCAAGCCAATGACATTATATAAAAAACTGTTTCATTATACTTGTGTGAAAGAAGAAGTGAAGTATAAAAATATTTCATGGATGTGTAAAACATATGCTTATAACCTGCAATATATTTATTGTAGTTTAATAACTCTACGATCCGATATTATATTTAAAAAATAATTAGGTTTACATCGTCGATTTATTCCAAATAATTTTCCCTTTGTGAAATCATATTATACGCTTTCAATTAGTTTGACGACGTTCTATCAATGCAATATTTAAAAGCAAGTAACTTTATTTTGGTATGTTTTCCAACGGTAAAAAATAAGAATTTAAATACATGTAAAAAGTGATAACTTGAAAGGATTGGATGACTTGAAAGAGGAAGGATGCCAGGAAATATTTACTATGGAAATAGTATTGATTCAATCTAATTAATAATCACTGTTATTTTTTTTATTATTATTTGTCAATAAATGTTTCTGGAAATCTCTGTCCCTCTCTTTAGCATATAATATGCTCCAAAATTGCGTAAATAACCAAACTTATTATTAACTTCTGAGTTACCCCATTTTGGGTCATATTATATGCTAAAGAGGGGGAGAGAGATTCCCAAAAAACATTCATTGACAAATAATAATAAAAAACTAAGTGTGATTATTAATTAAATTGATATACAGGCAAATAATAATAAAAAGTTCAAAACTAAAAAATGAAAAAATAAATTATCTGTTCAGATGTGCATAAGTAGTTTCTTATTGGTTCATGTATAAATTTTTGACAAAAGAAATAAACTTATTTTGAACTGAATGTGAACCTTAGATAACATTTTAAATCAAATAATTCTGTTTAGAGAGTTATATAATTTGACTCCCCTCCCTGACTAGTATTTCAGATTAATGTTAATTTATTCCATATGAAATGCGGAATTCGGAACTCCTCAAAAAATTATCTGTCATTAGTAAATTTATATAACAATAGGATTCTTTGAGTTCAATTAAAGCTTTGAGTGTCTTTCTTAAATGGTTAGATTAGATAAGAGATTGGTCAGGTTATGTTTTCATGTTGCCCTTCACTTTTCGTTTAAGCAAATAATCGTTGCTAGAAATGTTTTCGTTTCTTCTCTCTCTACTTCTGTTGTATTTGTTATTTAAATTTTGTGGTAAGTAAACATAATATATACAATGAGTTGTTTGTAGGTTCTACATTTATATCTTTATGTAGTGATAACATTTCTTATTTAACAGTTGACAATTGGTGCCACATGCTTTGTTATTAATATTACTTATAATTTACGAATGTGTGATAAAGTTTTAATTTGTTGTTCTAGACTGTTTTTGTTTATTATTGTTTTGTTTTCTTTAGTTTTTTTTTATTGTTTATCTTGTTTATGTGGCATGAATATAATCCAGCACTGCTATTAATGGGAGATTTTATTATTATATTCTAAAAAAGTAAATTAAATAAATAATTTAAAAAAATAATAATAATGTAATGGATCAGTTTCATTGGTTTGTAATTTGTGAATTTAACATTTTGTTTGGTAAGACATAAAATAAACCATCTGACAAACATACTTTTAAAAAAAAGTATATCATGAAAAAATCTGGTGTGTCCACTCACATGACTTTCCTATCTATTTCAGAAAAGTTTTTAAATCTTTACATATGTTCATCAAGAAACAAAAAAAAATTGAATTAGGTTTATTTTCCTGAAAATTGATCAAAGAAAATATTTTGGTACGATCTATTTGATAAACTAAAGCAATGTAAACCGGCTTAAGGTTGATCAGTGTAAACATTTCAATACTCTCTAATATTGATGATAAAAAACTTTTTGCCATAGCCTAATTTTGTCAAACAATAATTTCTGTTAAAAGTAGAGGAAATAGTGAGCTTGTGTGATGCGGGCAACAGATTTTCTTACTTTCATTTAGTCATCTTTATTCTCTCATTCATCCCTTTCCGACACCAGGATATGAACCCGTAATCTTTCATTAGAAATTGAAAAGCTGTAACTTCCTTAATAGTTATCCGAAATGAACGCTTTTTATATTTCATTACCTTTCAAAAAAAAAAAAAAAAAAAAAAATACAGGCTACTCGGACAGACAGACAGACCAATGGCTAAAAATGTGTTTTTCGGACTCAGGGGGCTCTGAAATGTATAGATCAGTTGAAAACCGCATATCGGAAATTTGATCTGATTGCGATACTTTCCTTACCTAGTATAGGTAGAAAAGTAAAAAACTACGGTATGTGCTTAAGACCACACGATAGGAGTGAAAACACCAACAAGGCGGACTTAATAATAAGAAATATAAATATTTTTTTGGTAATAACATTAAAATATATACAATTATAATTGTGTACAGACATATTTTTGTTCCTTATTCATAAAATAATAACATTTACAATATATACAATTATAATTGTTTTTAAATTACTCTGGTAAACTTTGCTACGACTGATCATACTAAGTCTTTATCATACTTTAAAAATGGAACAATGGGTTTATGATAACTGAAATATGTGATGATCGTATATTCTCATTATTTTAGTATGCCAGCATATTTAATATGACAATAATTTTTTTATTTTATTAATTTGTTGGCTCAGAGCACCTCGACCCTTGAAGGATCTATTGTGGACCAATTAAGCTATTCGTTTATTCTCAAAACGTTATGTTTGCCGTTTCTGCGTATCTTAGTAGGCTAGTTTGGATTGAGCGACTAATAGCTACTGGGAAGATCCATCTGTTCCTCCAAATAGTTCCAGTCTAAGCCTTGCGAATCTATCATATCGACAAATGATGTGAAAGGCTGTTTCATTCTCCTCTTGACAGAATCTGCATAGCGGATTCGTCGTCACTCGAAGATTGAACAAATGGTTGTTTAACTTAGAGTGACCTGTGTAGATCGCTGTAAGCTTTTTAGGAGCTGCTCTGCCCATATTTAGTAGCAGTTTGCTTCTTTTTTCACATGGACCTTTAAGGAACAGCTTTGAATGTCGTTGTTGACAATATTTAGTATGGAATTCATTATGATACTATATTATATTTGACACTATATTTTTCTCTTTTTGCCTCTCTAATACGTCCTCACACCAATATACAATTTTGAATAATAGCTCATTACAAAGAGGATGAAATTTACTTACAGAATGCAGGTCCAATTTTTAGTTTCTGCGATATTTTAATCCAAATGTAAAAACAGTTCAATTAGTCGGCTTTACCCGAATGAGCATTCCACATCCGAGCCTGATGGCTCGGTTTCATTCACTCCCCATAAAAATGTGTAAAATGCACCTAAAGAAGTTTTCACTTTAAAAAAAGTTTTTTTTTAACTCTTAAATAATATTTTGACTCCAATTTTTTTATTTGTTTGAATTCAAAACTTTATTCAGACAATTGAAATTCGTTGGCTATGATCGATTTATATTGGAATGGATTAAATAACCACTAACAAAAATATTGCACCACTATGCAAAAATAATTCGTGTAGAATGTTTGTCAGTGACTAAATGCAATATATTATAAGAGGAAGAAATTAATTTTTTATAGTTATCTGCCTTCTGTCCTCCAACTTTGGCGTTTAAGTTTAATTCGTTTCACAGGCCCTCTTTAAGTTTAAATGTTTTTTAAATAGTTTGAAAATAATCTATGAAGAGGAAGTTTAGACAAGTTTAAAGGCAGGGAATGTTTACTATTTTTCAGCTGCGAAACTATCTGGCTTATGCCTGATGTCCCTAAACTTTTTTTAAAAATTTATTTAATGAAAATTACAACTGTATAAACAATACAACTAGTAAAAATGCACATATGAACAGACTTGAAGATATACTGCCCAGTGGTAGCACTCCCTATTTAATTCTTGGTGAGAAGATCACGAGGCCATCTTCTTTTCAGAAGCCTAGGTTAAGTAGATGAGTCTTTTGTAATTAATTGAAAGTTTAGAGCGTTTGTCTAGTAAGTGTTGGAGCAGTCGGAAATCCTTAAACTTAAAAATAGGAATTTAAAAAGTCATCATCGTATTTATGGTTCTTTTTGGATGTGAAGCGTGGCCACTTACATTAAAGGACAAGCAATATCTTAAGGTTTTTGAAAATAAATTATTGTATAGAATATTCGGACCGAAGAAGGATAAGTCAACTAGAGAATTTAGACTGATTCACAATGCCGAATTGAGCTAACTGTACCCAGTCAATATAATTGAGGTGATTACGTTGAGGCGAATAAAATGGACATGTAAAATTTCCGTGTTTGGTTACGAAAGAATTCTTAAAATGTTAATACGTGCTGTGTCGACTGGCAAGTATCCAAGAGGTGACTGAAGCGAAGGTGGGAGGATTGGGTTTTGGTCACCATTGGTGGATGGAAGAATGTAAACCACAATTAGTGGTATCGCCATCAAATCTTCGGCCTCGCTGATTATTATTAAAATAAGCAACGGTTATTGAAATTATGTGCTGTATATAAGGAATTTCTTAATTTTTTTTTTTCTAAATATTGATTTTAATGTTACAATTAAAATAGAAAATATAATTTTTCAATGATAATTAGGGCTCATATAAGAATATAAGCAATAATATTTTGTATATTAAAAATATTCTTTATTTATTATTATTAGTAATATCAAGTAATAAAAATTATAGGAAAAACATAAAAAAATTGGTGCCCACAAAATTGACCATTAACCTATTAATATCGCCTATCAATATTCTGCCATAAATTTCAATAACACATGTTTATATCATATGTTTTAATTTAATTAGTATCATATCTATGGTTCAAATGGTTAGTGTGTAAGTTTCATTAACATATTATGTATACATGTCTGTGTATGCCTTAATACAGATTCCTTTCAGTCCAAAAATAAATTCATTGAATGATTAATTTTATGAATTGTGGATCCTACTCACTTATTCCTTCGAATCATTGTCGGATATTAAATATAGAAATAAAAAAGTGCAATCCATAATTTCCTGTGTTATATTATTGTATTTTTTAGAATTTGTTTCTAATTTTTAACTAATATATCGTCAGTTTATTGCAAAAAGTTATTAAATGACATTTCGTAACCTTTAATCACTGAGAGTTTTGACGAATTTTCTCTTTGTGAGATCAGAAAATTGTGCGCTTATTTTAACTATATCTGATATATTGAAGGGTTTGTGTCATTTCATTCAACTTATTGTGCATTTTAATCAATAAATAAAGTCAAAATTCACAAAATTCTTCTATGTAAAAATCGTTCTATCAAAAATATACTTAGTAGCTATTTGCAATAAACCAGAAAATATGCTGGTGTTGATACTCATTGTTTAAGATTCACTCAGACTGTTCTAGTGGACGCCAACTTGATATCACATTCTTATTTGAATTTTATTATTTCAAAAATGTATTTATTCCTTTAATGATGTATCTCTTTAAAAATAGGTAAAGCCAATGGAGGTAATGAAGGCAGTGGCAGTGGCGGTGGTGCCGCTAGCAGTAATACCTTCGTCGGTTCCGCTACTATCAGTCGCTCATCCGGGCTCGCAGGCCTGTTTGCTGATGGTATGCCGAAGCTGAAACCTGTAAATGCTAACCACAGTAAGTATTTGTTCATTTTATTTACCTAGTGAATATTCATTTCGTTTAAATGATGATATCATGTTAATTTCATAAGAGGTGCGAGTTATCTTTATTTTTGATAATCAATAGTTGACTGTTGTGTTATGTGGGATGAAATGACCATAAAAAAAGAAATTAATTAATAAAAACTTTGGGAAATTATTTATTAAGCCTATTCATTCCATGGCTGTCAGGGATATTGACATAAAAATTCTGCTTTAGTAGCTGGTAATAGAATTTATTGCTAGGACTGTAAACTTAACAAAGTTAGTGGACTAAAAAAGTGGAGATATGAAATTGATTGCTTTATTTTAAATAATTTTGGAATCTATACAGTGTTTAAATATAGGTGGATTGGGATACTTGCAATGTTTTATTTTCTTCTATTGGTCAGTCTTCTTGTTTATCTTCACTCTCTTCCTTTCTTGGCCCCTTGCCGGCTGATGTAGTTTTTTTTTTACTCCATGTTTTGAATTCAGTAGCATTCTTTATTTGCTTAGTGACCAGCCTCGTGGATTTTTGAATCTCTGCGTGAGAGCACCTACGCTTCAGTGATGGCAGACTTTGCATAACATCTGAGATGTATAGTCAGTATGCTCGAGATCACAGCTGTATTGTTTTATTCCTGATTTAATTTAAATTAAATTTAAATGGGAAGTTTGCTGTGTTTCTTACACACCTACATTTCAACCATAGTCTGCAAGTCTCCTTCGGGATCAGAAAGAAAAAGATATAGGACTGTAGAATACATGATATTATGATAAAAAAATTTAGAAAACAATTAATAGAGTAAATAAAAAGTAATTACTAGATTCAAATATAAAGCAAAATAACTAGGATAGTTCATAATACTAAGTATAGTAAATAATACTAACTATAACTTAAAATAAAAAAATTGTAACAATAAATGCTGGTAAGGAAATACTGAATACAATTGATTGGATGGTTGATTTATGCAGTTTATATTGCAGTGAATACTTATTTTATATTTACTCTTTAGTAAATATAATTAGTACTTTTACATTTACTCTGTTAATAATTTTCTTATTAAAGGGATAGTTTGGTAGGAGAGTACAGTCAACACACTGTTATGGTTTTAATATTAATTTTATAGTCTATGTTTCGAACTGAAAGAATCGAGACAAAGAAATTGTGATGAATGTAATAATTAAGTACTCACTTTTTGGTGGATTATGTCAGATTGTGAGATTATGCTTATTTGAAAGATAGCAAAATTCCTTTAAAAAATATAACTATCAAAATCGGACTACTTGGTGCTGAGATATGCATTTTGAACTTTTTGCACATGTTCTAATGCTAAACTGGCCTCATTTATTTTAGTTTCTGATAATTCAAAAACTTTATATCTACGGAAGCATTTGAAATTGATATTTGACTAATTCAATGGTCCATGTTTTTAAAAATAAAAACTATAAAAAAAAAATCTTAAGGTCAATAACTTTTTTATTTAATTTTTCTCAGAAGTGATATCAAGTAGTATAATGCAATGCATCATATTTATTTAATGTTTATAATTATTTGGAAATAATAAACTATTATGTAATAATTTGCAGCATTTTTATCTCTATTATCTCATATCTATCTTAAAATCTATAATTTTGAAGATCTATTTAAGTTGATATGCTAAATAAAAATATTAAAAAACATGTAGGTTAGTTGAATAAAGATTATAAAATAATAGTTAGGTTAGGTCTCGGGAAGGAAAACAATAGATTTGATCCAAAGACAATGGAATTGGTGGTGCAGCTCACGATAGGCTACAATTATTTACTATCTTAATACTGTTATCATTTCCCTTTGTTTGACTTCATATCCTTTTGTATCACTCAGCCTCTTTTTAACATTTGTATCATCCTTTATCCTTATTTATTTTTTTATTACAATAAAGAAAATAAATATTAAACTAAATTTTCTATTAAAGTGTTTTGTATGCTGCAAAGGCGAAGTAGCTCCATTCAGGGAGAGTTTCAACTTACATTTCCTCTTTTTTTAAAAACATTTTCTTTTTCTTTTTTAAGAATTAAACCCATTTTTATTTTTATTTATTATATCAAAAACATAATTGATTGATATTTCGAACTTTACTTTTCATCTTGATAACCCATTCATCTAAAATAATTATACAATTATTATTATCAACCTTAAATACATTTATTGTTTCAATCTAATACTAAAATAATCCATTCTCCAATTTATTTTTAAATGAGAAATTGCCAAAATTTACCATTACATTCATATATTTTTTTTTGTAATTATTAAAATATTTGTCAACTATCATTTAAAATTGATATGTCACCATTTCATTTTCTCGAATGTCATGGCATATTGTCTGTTATTGTTAGTCATTGCAAATAACACCGCATATTTAATTATTATTACATTATTTGAATTATACTTTTTGAAAAATAAAAAATCTGGTGCGTGTAGCACACATTTTTCATTTACCGCTCCACTTTGAATAGAAATTATTTTCTGGCAATGTTGGGCTATTATAAAATTTTTGAAGTGCATTTTAAATGGAGCTAAAGCTTGCAGATAAAAAATCAAGACCATTAAAATTACAAAAACTCTTATTTATTATATCGACGGTAGGCAATAAAAATCTAGTTACTCCATTTGCTTTTATAAACCATATAACTTCAATCTCTGAGCCTTTCAGTTGACAGAATGACTAAATCCAATTTCAACATTTTTTAATAATGTCATTTTAGTGATATTTAACGCGGAATGTATTGCACGGGAACCTTTCTCGACGTTGAACAGATGTTTCATCATTCGGGCACTGATGTACAAACTCCGTAAATTCCTACCATCTACATACTTCCTCATTATCCGTTCCTGCCTTAGTGATAGATACTTCAAAATAAATCACAAAAATGCCTATTCATCTATTTTTTTCTCAGTTTGCTGGTGTTCCTCAAGGTAGTATCCTAGGTCCTATCCTTTACACAGTTTATACAGCTGATATTCCAACCCATCTCAACACTGTCATCACCACCTATGCCGATGACACGTGTATCCTATCAGTTAACAATGATCCATCAATTGCATCCCAAACTCTCCAATCACACATCAAAAGTCTTGAAAAATGGTTTCAAAACTGGAGGATTAAAATAAACTCCAATAAATCCCATCAAGTTACTTTTACCCTTCTTCGTAAACCTATGACTTCCTGTCCTACAGTATCCTTCAACAATAGCCCACTTATCCCTGTTGAACAAATCCAGTACCTTTCACTCCACTTGGACAAACGACTCACTCGGAATCCTCATACCAGACTGAAACGGCAAGAAACTAGTCTCGAGATACTAGTCTCGAAGATGCACCTGCCTGCAGCAGTCAGCCCACCAAGTTTTATTCGAGTGATATATAATATTTGATTAAACGAACAACAGGTCTGAGAAATTGCAGAGATCCTGAAAATAGGAAGATTCCCCACTTATGGCTTAGATAGTCAAGTTGAAACTTTTTAATCTATTTATTAAATAAACCTTATTTATTTATTTTTTTCAGAAGATCAATCTAGTTCATTATCATCATTACAAACAGCAAATGTTTCATCTCTTCATAACAGCATTAATGTAAGTCGAATCGCTTGACATTAATCCTATATTAATATTAATTTTGATTAATTTTTGGTAATTTTATTTATTTGTTGTGGCAGAATCGTTTCAACAAACCCGACATGGCAAAGAAACTGATGATCGACATAAAGAATAGAGGACCTCCACCTCAGCCACCGAATCAACTTCAGAAACCTGTGATAACTTCGGTAATTAATATTTTATATTGATTTTTTTTTTTTTTAATTGAAGACAAACTAATAGTGTGCAAAGGCTGTTTTACACGATCTAGTTTCCCAACCAAATCTTTATTATAAAATTGTAGTTAAGTATTTTTGTTTTCACAACTCCAAAGGGTGATCACCACAAACTTTATTATTCAGCCTTTTACCCTGTTAAATTTCCCCTACAAAGTTGGGATTGTTGTTAATATATTTTTCTGTTAGGTGTATCAGGTAGGTAATCTTAGTTGGCAACTTTACTTTGAGTACTATTGAATTCAATATTCTTTATGGTAAATCATTAAAAACGTTACTAATTCAGTTTCGCTATTCCAACATATTTTGAAAAAGAGTATGTTTCCTGAAAACATTAAGCGTTGTTATTGTGTGTTCGAAAAATTCTATTAAGTTCTATATCTATGTCTATGTCTATATCTAGATCTATTTAAGTTCTACTTTCCCGTAATTTATTAAAGGATAATAACTGATATATATTTTTTTTTATTAGAGTACCAGTGAGACTACGTTGACTTCGCCAACAGTCAATACACATACAAGATCCGCGAGCACCGTGTCGCTGGCCAACGGACGCGGAGGAGGACACTTCACAGGAAGGATCATTAAGCCGCAATTGGCACCCAAACCTCCTGCTCCTGCTCCGCCCGGTACTGTCAACAAGAGAACGGTGACTAGGGCGCACAGCATGAAAGTCCCTGCATCTCCACCAATAGTTCCAGTATCTCCGCAAGGTATTTATTTAAAGTTTTAACCTCTCATTGTATTTTCTTCATTTTAATTCTTTTATTATATTTATAGACTAGCTGATGTACCCCGTCGTTGACGGGTGTATAGTTAAAATTTGATAATCTTTTTATGGGATGGATTTTGTATTATGGGAGTAGGAGGATTCAAATTCAATTTCATAAAATTGGGTCGGGAGGGGAGAGGGGATTGTTTTGAAATTTTTTATGGCGGGCTTATGGAAGTCAAGGTTTTGCAATAGTCATAACAAAAACTTTGTTATTCGTCTATTTGTTTAGATACCACACAACTAAACCGATCTATTAAAATTTGTTAAGTGTTTAATTTTCATTTATGATGAAGCGAGAGTAGATTGTGGAGTCGATTAATTAATCAAAAAGAGTTGTAGTCTCTCCACTTCTTTAAACTCTTCTGAGTTTATCGCTGCCATTGGGCAAAATAACATTGGACATTGAGTCACCTACATCCGTGTAAAATTAGAACTTGATCTGAATATTGTGGCGGGCGGGATGAATTTTTTGGAGTTTTTTCCTCTGATTTCCGGCTAATCCGTTTGGTTAATCCTAAAAATTTATACGACAATATTTGTTAGGCTCAGAATGTTAAATTGAATGACACCTTGAACGGGAAGATCGGACAAAGTTGAGAAATGAGTGTGTTTTACCCGTTATATGCCACAACGCGTTCCAGATGTCCATTATTCTGGATTTTTCCTGTTGAGTTGTAATAATTTTTTTTTTGTGGATTTGGTGTCTGTAATGTATAAAATGGAAAGATAAAATGGGTTGATTCTATTTAATGTACAGACGAAACCTTTATTTTATTTACATAGATGTTATTTAACCTATAAACATATGTTTATTATTAAGATTTATTATCAACATTAACCAAGGTCTCTAGTCAAATTACTTAAGAATTCATAACTTTGGTTATACTCAATATTTTTTTTCATTTAAAGCCTATGTTTTAAGTCAAGAAAACCTTAATATAATGTTGAAATTTCAAAAGTCTACAATAAGCCATTGCTCAGCTTATCTCTGACAAAATTTCATTGCAATGCAGACATACAGACAGACAAAAAAATTTTTTAAAGTGGATTTGGTGTCTACAACGTATGAAACGGAAAGATATCATAAAACGGGTTGATTCTATTCAATGTACAGACAAAATCTTTATTTTATTAATATAGATTATAAATTTATATTCTATTTTATTTAAATTGCAAAGCAACTTAAGATTTGTTGATGACATATGTTTGATAACACCTAATGTGAATGATCTCAGAAGAATGATAAAAGATTTAGTAGAAACTAGTAAAAAATATGGACTTAACATAAATACGAGGAAAACTAAAATAATGACAAATACCATTGAAATAAGCAGCTGGAATATGTAGAAGAATACATTCATTTGGGACAAACAATAGCATTCAATGAAAAAATGAATAAAGAGATCGACTGAAGGATAAAACTTGGATGGTATAAACATTGGTACCTTAAAATCATTTTTAAAAGTGACTTAGCAATAGAATTGAAAACCAAAGTTTTGACTACATGTGTATATTCTCTATGGAGCACAAACTTAGACTTTCACCTACTTTTTATCTGTTGAAATTATCTGTTGAATTCAACTGTTGAACTTCCTTCGTTCTCATTAAATTGTAAAGATTTAGCAACTTGAAATGTTTCTTTTTTGTAATTTTTCTAAATTTCTTTTTTAGGCCCATCATTTCCAACCTTGTCGAAGACGACAGGATTCCACGCATCGTCAGACAGCCTATCTGCTCGCCCGAGGCCTGCGAGGCCACCCCTGAGGGCCCCACAGTCGAGACCTCCTCCTCCGCCCACTTCGGTTGTGCCTCCCCCACCTACGACCGCAGTACCCCCTCCGCCGCCACCTTCTGCTCCACCTCCACCACCACCGCTTCCCCACAGGCCAGCGCCTCCTGTAAGTAACAATATCTTTTTAGTGTTCATTAACAGAAAATTTAGTTTTAATTGTAACATTTGTGTATGTTTATCATATTGTTGATTATGATTATGCCAAAATGAATTATTATTAATTTATATATAATTACTTAGTTAATTCTTCATTAATATGTATATATATACTTGTAAAAATACCAATCTATTAACAGTTATGTTTTAAGTCATTCCAGTCTTCGAAACTAGTGGTATGAGACATATATATTAAGATATTTTAAATTCTTCTACCTTGTTTAAAAAAAACAACTAAGGTGCATGCTTTAGACCACAGTTTCCACAAAAGTTCCACAGTTTCAGAGAAATTTTCTTTGTCTAGTTGTTGGTTTAGGCTCCATAGAATTCCAGGAAAGAGGCTGTGAGATAGACTAGAGGTGGGAAATCTTTTTATCATTAGAGGCCGCGGTAAGGTTAGGCAGTGCTAATGGAGGCCGCATTAATTCTTTATATTTTACTGTTGCTATTTTTATTTATCACTTAATACACACACCATACATATATTCAACTTAGTTCTATTAATTTCCAAATTGTTGTTACTTAGATACTTGGATTAGAGGACTAGATTAATAAATATAACGCAAAAATGTTTGGAGGCCACATGAGTCACAAAGGCCTCGGGGACCACAGTTTCAAACCACAGAAGTGAAAACATATTTGAAATATTAAGTATAAATAATAGTTCATTATAAAGAGGATGAAATGCTGAACATTTCCCTCGATTACAGTATATAGGTCTGATTTTTAGTTACAGAGATATTTTAATCTATATCTACAATAAAACTCGTTATAATTTGGTTTTCGACACTATTTTTTCTTTTTTTCCTCCCTAACATGGTGATACGTTAAAATAAAATTTTGATTAATAGCCCATTACAGAGAGGATGAAATGTTGAACAATTCTCTCATTTACAGTGTGCAAGTCCGATTTATAGTTTCTGAGATATTTTAATCCATATGCAAGAACACTTCAATTAGTCGATTTTAGCTGACTTTACCCGAGCGTTACACATCGGAAATCAGACGGCTCAATCTAATTCACTCTTCACAAAAAAGTGCAAAATGCGCCTAATGAAGTTTTAACTTCAAAAATTGTTTTTGTAATATCGTTGGTTTATTTCAAAAAGTCTCTAATGAAGCTAAACTTTTAAATACCTTTTTTGTGTATTTCGATCTTATTCATTGATTCAAAAACACAATAAGTGTATACAAATTACACAAATCCTTTGATATATCTAAAAGAGTTATTCCAAGTGCACAATGTTCTCATTTTAGAGAGAGAGAGAGAGAGAGAGAAAATCATCGAAGTTCATAATCATTTAATTTTACTTACATTTTCTTGTATATATATTTATAATTTGAATTAAAAATTATTGCTGTACTTTGAATGTTGCATCTAACTAACTTTTGACTGAATACCAAATTAATTCAGAAATTATTAATATGTCGATTAATTGTTGAATACTGATCACACAATTTCTCTTTCATTATTATTAAATAAATTATAAAAATTATTTTTTCACAGTTGCCTTCGAGTGTTCCTCCCACTCCTCCGTCGAGGCACTCATCGATGCGAAACGGAAGCGGACCAGCAAGTATGTAATCTCGTTATTTAATATTTTTAATTTATTTTTATTTTTATTTTATCCATTTAAGTTATCACTTATAAAGTACTAGAGATACTATTAATTTTCATTTAAACATAACATTTAACCATATCTAAGAGCCAATTTGTTTCATTTACACTTAAACATGACTCTTGTCCTCCAGTGTTCTTTAATAATATTGCTCTACCACCTTCAAATACTGTACGATATTTGGGTCTCCACTTGGACAAATGACTGACATGGACATACCACATAAAACAAAAAAGAAAAGAACTTAATCAGCGATACGGACTTCTTTCTAGGCTACTTGACAGACGTTCTAAATTATCTGTGACTAATAAACTAACTATTTACAAAGTCCTCATTAAACCACTTTGGACATATGGGATCGAACTATGGGGAACAGCAAAGAAATCAAATATAAAAATCATCCAGTCATTCCAGTCAAAAGTCCTTCGGAAAATTGTAGACGCACCCTTTTTCTGTGTTATTATATATGTGTTATTTTACTTGTTTTTTTTTTGTTTTGCTTTTTTTTTTGTCTTTTTGTTTTGTTATTACTATTCTTTTTTTTTATGCTATCATTTCTTCTCCTTGATATCATATTTGCTGAATACCGAGGTAGATGGCAAATTTATTGTGAGCCACGAATATGTATAACTAATAAAAAATTTTCATAATCATGTGTAGTACAAACAACAAAGTATTGTGAAATTTACAAAAAAAACAACTTTCACTCTTTTTAGTTGGATTAAATGTCTTAAACCATTTTATAATTAAAACATTTTAAAGATAAATTAAAAAAAAAATTAATCATTGATTATGTTAGGCAAAATTTTATAATACCTTTAGTTGGCAATTTACTAGCTGTTAATTAATACATCTTACGAATAATGATTTTTTTTGTTTAAATAACGGTGAAAAAAAAAGTGTCATTTTCTATTTTCTTAATCAAATATATTTGTCTGAGGTTTGCTACTGCTCGTACTTTCTTTATTTTACTATTTTCAACCTGTCCTGCCTATTAAGCAGTATGTTTGTTCTCATCAGCGTGATGTTAGCCCTGTCTGCGTAAAAACAAACTGCTGAAAGTAAGCTATTGACAACTAAATCTCGTGCACAGGCCATCATCCTTTGGATTTATCCAACCATCCCAGCAGTCTCATTGGTATAATAGACTGTGTATTCAATTTTCTTTCATCCATACTTAAAATTTGATAAAAATATGAATAATTTTCCTTACTAATGAGCTGGTAGAACTCGTTCTACGTTAAAATATTGAGTGCAGTTTGCTTCATCTTTTCGATGGTCTTTAATTATTCCACAATTATAGGGAATTGACATTCTTTTCATGTGCGATGATCTTTGCTCAAAAGCCCCTATGCCTTGTGAACAGTGTGATCCTGTAGTCTATATAGTATAACCCATATTGCTTCTAATCGTGAACGATGGAAACAATATTTTCTCAGGTTTGTTCCTTTTGGCGTTATAACCCACCTCTGGTTCAATTTTTCAAAGATGTTCTCTTAAAGAATTTTCTTCCATTACCTGGGGTATTTTCTTATTCTTGTTTAGAAAATCTCTGATAGAATCGCCAAACCAAAACAGCCACATGTTCATATTGGTGACATCCACGTGTATTCCACCGACTTGCAAGGCATTTAAGAAAATTGGAAAACATTGATTGTCTGCAGCAAACTCATCTCAAACGTATTACTTAACCATATATGTCTTTATGGTTTATATTCCAAAATATCATTCCAACTTCAGTTCCACTCGAAGGCAAACGAGCTTGTCAATCCAACAAGCCTACTTCAGTTTGTACAGACCGCTGGAATAATGCTCTGAATAAGAGCGATACTAATATGGGCATGGGCGTGCAATAGGCCTTCTTGTGCATTTTACCACAAAAAAAAAAAAAGAAAAAACAGTTTCTTCTGCTTCTTTTGCCTTGTCATTAGGCCTATTGAAAATCTAACTGTAAAATGATAAAATATCTTTTTAGCTACAGATAAGAATAAAATATTGAATATTTAATAGTTGAACATTGCATTATATAGGAAGGAGATGGTCCAGGGTTGCGGTCATAAATAGGCTAAATAGTGGTAAAACTATTCTATTGAAAGCCGACGTTTCGACCCGACTTTGCTGGTCTTCTTTAGGGCTAGAACGGACAAGATACAAAAGATAGAGAATTGTGGCAGTTACATAATATTTAGACATGATTTATAAACAATGTGAATAAGCTTATTAAAATTATAAACAGTAAGTACAATAAAATATGAACAAAGTAAGCTGAGTAACAACAAGATCCTAAACTGAAGTAAATAGATGCTAACAATTGTAGCGTAATGTATAATAAATAAAAATGTGAATATACTTCTACAAATCTACAGGAGAGATTGAAAGAAAAGGAAAAAGGATATAATATGAAATCATAGACGTAAAGAAATGTGGAGAAAGAAAAGAAAAAAAAAAAAGAAACCAAAATTAGATAAATAAATAAATAAAATGGAAGAATAATAGTTTCACCACTATTTAGCCTATTTATGACCGCAAACCCGGATCATCTCCTTCCTTTAAGAATAAAATATCTTCTGCAGAAAGAGCACATGCGATTCAATTATACTCTTTCTGCTCTAACATATTTTGAATTTTATTTTCAATGAATAACTATGAATTTTTTTTTACACTTAAAATATAAATGATCTTTATCTAAAACTGGTAAAAATAACATGTCTTTTCTGAAATAAACAATAATTATAAAACAACCATTTGTAATTTTAATTTTAAAAAGTTGATTTTTTCATTTTTCTTTCAGATGATTTCGAAATGAGGTTTTCTTACATGTTTCATTCTGTTAATGAATTTCCTCCTCCTCAGGCGTACATTGGAGTTCCGAAAGTTTTCCCGAGCAGGTTGCGTAAGTATCTCTTGATATTTATCTTATAGTTATCTCTTATTATTTCTATGTTTTAGAAATTATAATTGCACTCATTCATAAAACGAGGTAACTGAAAAAATTATTGTGCTAAAATTTTCTTTGGTTATATTGCTTTATGTTTAATTAGTCATTTATCATATATTAATACAAACTGTACTCTTTAAAGAAACAAATTTCTTATAAAATCTATCAATAAATAAGTCATAACAAATCCAGTATAGCCGAAAACTTAAGTTCTCAAAAAATTTGAGATACATTGTTTTATTACAAAGTGGCTCAATGATTAAAAATTAATTTTTTCAAATATATTTATTGATTTGATTTAAATCCATTGATTTAATTTAAATAAGAAATGCGTCCATCCTCCACACATTGTCTGTATGTTTTCTCCGAAATTACTGGACCAATTTTTATTTTTATAATTTGGTACCAAAATCACAGGGTTCTCGGAGCTCTCTATTTTGAGACAAGGCTAATTAGATGTTTCAGATATCCATTTATAGAGAATGAGGGAAAAATAAAAAAGTATTTTGAAATCAATAAATCTTTATCTTATAGGTAAAAGACACCATGTCCATTTTTTTTTTATTAAATAATTTATAGTAACTAAAAAACAAATTTTATGTATAATAAATCTGTTCGCCGACCATGTACAAAAATATGATATGAATTGAAAATATTTTTTATTATACTAGGACTGTGATCCCTTGAGAACAAGATATACCTAGTCCTGTCATAAATATTGTTACAAGGAAATATTTACAGATTTCAACAGAAAAATTCATTTTTTTCAAAAAATTTATCAGAAAATAAAATGTCTATCTATAGAGAGTTAAACAAAAAAGAAATTACTCAAAATGTCTCCCTTTTGCCTTGACACAGGCATTTAATCTCCGTGACCAGTCAGCAATAATAGCTCGCAGCACGTCTTGAGGAAAGTGCGCAACTGCTCAACCACAGATTGTTTGAGGCTTTCCAAGTTAGGGTGTGCTCTGCGGCATGCCATCCTCTCCAGTTCGGACCAAAGCCGATAATCTAGTGGGTTGAGATCAGGGCTTCCTGAGGGCCAATCCGAGGCAGAGATGAACTCTGGAATGTTCTTTTGCAGCCACTGCTGAGTTGACCTGGCCTTGTGAGCTGGAGCGAAATCCTGCTGGAAAACCCAATGACTTCCAGCAAACAAGTATCATTTAGAGGCTTGACAACAGTTCCAAAATATCGTCCTGATAGTTTTTAGCGGCTGTTTTAACTCCTTTTTCACATAAATGGAGTTTTATGGTGCCATCAAAGCAAACTCCCCACCAAACCATCTCTGAGGAAGGGTGGTGACCTCTTTTCACTCTTCCAATGACTTCCTGGACTTCTTTAGAGATGTGTGCATACACGATCATTTTGGCGATTAAATTTTTCTTCAATTGTAAACATTTTCTCATCATTAACAAAATCTTTCGATGAAGACCATTGGTGTAAAGGCCAAGGAGAACTAGCTCTCTAGAACAAATACAAAAATAGAGATGGTGCCCTTTACCTCTGACGTACAGAAATTAAAAAATATATATTTATATAATAGTATTATAATTTGCAACGTTACAGAATAAAATTATAAATAAGTGATCATTAGAGACCAGATTTTCGTGCAGTAGAAATCAAAAAAATGTGCAAATTCGTGTGGTAAAAACCTAAAATTTCGAAAGTTGTGTAATTAAGAGATAATAATGTGCAAAAATCGTTTATTTTGTTTAATTTATTATTTTAACTCATCAAAAGCTGATCAAACTGAATAAAATGTGCAATAACATGGAAATTCAGTCTCTAATTAAAATAATATATTAAACAAAATAGACTATTTTTTACACGTTTTTAGATGTTAATTGCACAATTTTAAATATTTTGGGTTTTTACTACACCATTTTGAGTGGCACATTTTGAGTTTTTTACTGTACGTTTTTCGTTTTTTACTGGGCGAAAATCCGATCAATAGTGATAATATATCTTTAATTCTTTTTAAATTTCTTGAGGATGTTTACTGTTACCTCACCATATCTCTTGTTG